CTCTCTCTCTCTCTCTCTCTCTCTCTCTCTCTCTCTCTCTCTCTCTCTCTCTCTCTCTCTCTCTCCTCAAACGCTTGCGGTTACTGATCTATCCCTCCATCGTCACAGAAAAGTGGTCGGGGGATGATCGAAGCGATCAACAGATGCCACGTGGCTGACTGCGCCTCTTCACCAAATGTACGAATCGTGCGGTGGAGAGCACCGCCACCTGTGATCGCAGTCCATCTTGTCGGTCACTAGTGTAATGAACAGCGAGAGCGTCTCCACGCTAGAGACCAAACGGGCTGCATATTTACATGGCAAATAGATTCATGATTGGAGAGAATGCGATGTGCACAACTCACTTCATGGGTAATCCTAGACAGGGATAATAGTTGCATGCTCGTCGAAGCCGTGCCAAAGACCACCACTGGATTATTGCGTCATCGCGCGCTTACTGTACTTGTTGGACGTCCATCCAGCTTTACCCCATTCACACCCGCAGTAGGGGTGGCCCAGCGAACCCGCGGAGGATTAAACAGTCCAGACATCACAACTTCAAAGGAACTTAAATGCACACCACCACCCTGTCAGCCACGTCAGTCGTTCACTTTGGACAGCCGCGCCGGTTGCGATGTAGCACAATCTGTACTGTTTTGCCGACGTGGCAATAATTATTTGTAATCAAGATCCTGGTCCGTTCCGTTACTCGTTGACGGCCAATGATGGCGAGTCGGCACCACGAGTGGGCCTCCGCCTTACGGCGGACCCGAATACCTGCTGTCCCCTCAAACTTGAGGAAAAACGAACCGCAAATTCGCGGGATGCCCTGGAAGTTGCTGGTATTTGTCATCCCGCCGCCCAATTTTCTACAACCCCGTCACATGCGCAAGTTTGCGGCAGGCCCGGGGACGCAATTCGCAGCCCGTCAGGGTTGCGTTTTCGCCCCCTGAGACGTTTCAACGTCAATCAAATTTCATCGTCGGTGGTCGTGGGGAGGGTGGGCATTTGAGGTTTTGGGGCCTTGCAAGGGCCAGGACAGCGTAGGACTGGTAGCTGCCATTTTCAAAATTGAAACGGTGCAGGTGCACTTTTCGCGAATAGCAAAGCTCCTTCAACAGAAAGCGTACACATTGTATTCGAATATAACAAGTACCCTTTCTATTCGGATTTTGAAAAGCGAAAACTTGTGTATTCCAATAAAATTACTTCTTTTTTTTTTTTGGAGGTCAGCGCCTGCCCTTGTGCTCCCCGCCACTGACATGCTGCATGCTGCAGCTCTCTCTCTCTCTCTCTCTCTCTCTCTCT